AAAAAAAAAAAAAAAAAAGGAACAGGGCAAACAAATGATTCGCATTCGATTAATTAGCAAGAAACCCTAAAGCCAAACATCCTTTCCTGAATCCCTTTATGGTCTAATTCAGAAGTTAAAAGATCGTTAACAGTTATTACAATTCCTTAAGGTATAATGCAATTAAATCCTAAACCATAACAAGTAAAAATTATTACTTAACAACATAGGTTCTGCAATAAATATAGTTTCAGAATATTAGAGAGAGACTCAATAAACTGGCAGTAGTGGACATACAATATAAAGATACCTATACATGTGCAATCCATTGATTACTTGAATGGGTTGTACTCTTTGTTGGCTTCTTGAATAGCATTCCAATCCCATAATCTGTCGGACAAGGAGGCCTGAAACGAGCCTGGGATCATGTTAAGAGACTGTGGCTGTTGCGATTGCAAAGTGGAGAAATGGGATAGAAGATCAGGCACGTTATTAGGATACTGCTGGTGATCCGGTTCCCGATTGATTGAAGCTTGTTGGGAGTAATTCACTAGTTTATGGAGATCATCAATTGCATTATTATGGGATGAGGAACTGGCAATTAATAAAGTGCTGCAGTTGGGGGCTAAAGAAGAAGAACAAGTTTGCTTTGATCCGTGTAACTGCATCATTCTATTGTCTAATTCCATAGAATTTGGAGTAGGAATTGAAGTGGACATGGGGACTAATGGATTGACGTTGTAAGAGTTGTGCTTTGAAAGAGGAAGAGAGGTCCCAATATCAGCTGTGCTACTGCTTGCACTGGTTTCGCTCATCTTTTCATCAGTTTGTTGGGACGATACTCCATATGCTTGGAACCTTTCCATGGCATGATTTGTCATTTCTCGTTGTTTCTTGAGTGTCGATTGTGTTCCTCTAGACGATGAACCCCGTGTAGGAAGAGATCGAGGAAGAGAAGGATGGTCTTCGATTCCTGCTCTTTTGTAGACACGGCAAAGAGAAATCTCAGCCTGAAAACAAAGCGGAAGAGCTTTATATAACAAACATGCTGTAATAAATGTGGAAGAAAGTGGGGATTTTGAATCCTCTGACATTAAGCATCGGTGATCAATGGACTCACTGAATTGCAATTGTGAGGTCTTTTAGAATTTTTACGGCGAAGGATCTTAGTGAACACTGAATCTAAAGAATTCATACCTGTTCCTTTAAGTTTCTGATGCGAATATTTAAGAATTATGGGACATAAAAACAGAATTTGTCAGTTGTCGGCAGTTATCTTCCTGCACCAAATTATTTTTTTGCCTTTTTCCTGAAGTACTTGCTCCTCCTATTGGGGATCTAACATCTGATGGTGGGATCAAGACCTTGATTTACATAATTTTCAGCTGGCAAGGAGAAGAAGAAGTTCTTGGTATAAAAGCTAGTTTCTTTTCATAAACTAGGCTCAAAGGAACAAAAAAAAAAAAAATTATATTAACACTGGTTTTGCACTGGTCAATCAAGGGAAAGAAAGACTGAATGATTTCAGAAGATGGGCTATTTGAAGCCAGTGTTACTGGGTTTAATTTGGATGATTCAGTGGGTGCGTATATTCTTTCCATCAGCCGCTTGTTCTTTCTGTGTAGATGAATTATAAGAAGAGGTGCACGTGGAGGAGCACGAAAAAGCTCCAGTCTTTGTTAGATTTATTTTTCAAATTAATTATATATGAAGTATCTAATTGAGGGGAATGAAATTCATACCTTTTGCAGGCGTTCAGTTTCATGGTGTGGCAGACGGTATTCATTCATGATCCAACTAGTACGAATTCCTTTTGGAGCTTTCCCGGAGTAGAAAACAAGGGTTTTCTTCAGTCCAATAGACCGAAGATTTTCACTTCGGATCATCCTATCAGCCCCGGTAGCCTTCCAATAACCAGAAGTTGTCACACGATTAGGCCGATCTCCATTACGATACTTTCTATCTCTTGGAACATAAAAGTACCATTCCTTCTCCCCTATAGCTGCCAAGGCTGAGATTCACAGCTCAAAGAAATTAACACCGATTTGAGTATAAAAAGAATATGACAGAATTCATAAAGAAGATTATATATATACCAGGAAGTTCCCATGGGTCATAGCGGTAAAGGTCTAGAAAAGTGATGAGTTCAACATTGAAACGCTTGCCCTCTACCTTACGGCGAAGATAGAATTCAACTAGTTCTTCTTCGGTGGGATGGAAGCGAAAACCGGGCATGACCATGTCGTGTTCGTGTTCATCCTTGCTCTCATCTTGATTATTCATGGCTCCTGCAATTGCCATAAACTAATTACACCTCACACTCTAATCTAACTCAATAAAATATATAGTCATCACAAGTGTTTAACTTGATGTCCTACATCAGTTACTGTACGAACTTCAAGAATTGTGATGTACAAGTTATGGGGTGGGGTGGGGGTATACACTGAAGTTAGACTTATAAGCCATTCTTTCTCTCTCTATAAGAGGGAGGGGAGAAGAAGGAAAAAGAAAATTATAAATGAAGTGGTGGAGTTGATAGAAAGATCTACATAGCTTTCTGGCCCTACATGGTAAGACGTTGCATTAAGGTGTTTTTAATATTAGAAAGGGACGCCACAAATCCAGGACAGGGTGGCCTTCTTACAGCGGTGGGTTTGGAGTTTTCTATATTCCTCCATAAATTTTGTTATTTTACCAAAAAAATACGGTAAAAAATATTTCTTTTCTTTTACAATGTCCTTTCAAATTCTATTTGATTTAATTGAATGTTGAGAATCAGATCTCATTGATTCTAGATTAATGTTGAGTATTGATATGTTAATAATTTCGTTGATTCTAGAAAATGAGAATCGGAAAGAATTGAAAATTAATTAGCAATTGCAACTTGCAAGGATATTATTAATATAATGTTGAATTAATTTTTCTCATTTAGAAAAAAATAAACAAATTATTTCCTATCGCTTAAACTTTTACTTTACGACTTGACAAAGTACAATTTGCATAGAAATAAATAAATATTACTTGATCAAGAAAATTTAAATTAGTGATTTGTGTGCACCACATTGGTACAATTAAGTTTTTGACAAATAATATTCAATATTTGAGTGTCTAAAGGCAATAAATTCTATTGAGTGTCCCAGTTTGTACTTATTATCCTAAACCCTAATCTATTAATGAAACCATTTATTAATAGCGTGGTGGCTCATTGTAACATAAACAAGTACATAAATACTACACCTAGTCTAACCCCAAAATTCCACCATAAGGTACACGAGTACACAGAGTAGAATTGCTCAAATATTCATTTTTACTCATAAAATATGTGCAGTAAACATTTCATAATGTCTACATATACTTGTATTGCATTCTTTAGGCCAGTATATGTTAAGAGATCAAATCGGCTAATCATCAAAATATAGACTAACGTACAAGGATTTTGGCTAATCCTCTTATTAAAGTTGACCTTTAATAAGATATATATATATATACACAAGAATTTTGGTTAGTTCTCTTATTAAAGTTGATATTTTAAAATGGAACTCCAAATTTTAATAAGGTATCAAAATTCATTAAGTTCCAACGGGCAATTTGATTCGACTAAAACTAAAAAATGAGCACATGAATTTCAAGTGCGGGTGCATATTAAAAGATAAATCCCCCATTAGATAAAGATGAAAATATAGAATAATAGTTTGGGTATTTCCTCTTAATAAAGTTTAAAATTAAACTTCAAGTCTTAATAGTATATACGCGGAGGTATGCATATACGTATACCGGTAGGGGAGGTGGTGGTGTGGGGCTGGATGGCAAAACAATTGCCGGAGGCAAAGCGGGTATATATGTAGCTAGGCTGGGCATATATACAGCTTGGAGTCTACTGTGAGTGTGTGGGACTCTGCATAGTCAAGACTCAAAAGAAGCCCGTGACCACTTCTATTATGACAATAACAAGAGCTCCTTTCATTTTGTTTTTATTGCCCTTCCACATCTTTTTCAGATTTCACACTTTATTTATCAATTTCTTTTAATAATTGTTTTAAGGATTTTGTTTTTGTTAATAATAGTCAGGGTCCAATCTTTCTTGTCAAGAGGACTTTTTGGTTTTTTCTCGACTTATTTAGAGTTACAACGTCTGATGTGGTGAAGAAGGAAGAAGATTTTATAAAAAAATGCGATTGACGTATACATAAATAGTTTTCTAGTGTGTTCGTTTTCGAAGAAGTGTGGGTCAATTTTAAGGGGAAATAGTCCATCATTTAGCCCAAAAAACGTGTTAGGACTTTTAATTTTCGTCATTATTTTCATTTTATTTTCGAATATCTTATTATTTCCATTAGGGTTTCACATTGTAAGGGCTGTAAGCCTTAATGACAGACATTTTTTGGCTAAAATAAAATTCGACGAGGAGTTTTCTCTCAACTCTCTCTTTCTTGACATTCATGAGTGTATCAACAAATTTAAATTCCAGATGCAATTCTTGTTCTTTCCTATAAGCTTTTGCTAAGTGAGTCCGCTAGGATTGTAAGAACTAAAGACGGAAAATCAAAACAAGACATAAATTAGCTACATTATTCTTCCGTATACTCACTAACACAACCTTTCAGAAAACAAAACCGCGTTACATGACAGAAAGACCTTTCGATTGATCCTTAATTAATTATATAGTTATAAATTTGTTCAGTGTATCCGTGAAATATGGCCTGACTTTCTCTCATTCCTTTCTTGATACAACTAGCAGAAAGAAACAGAATGTCCAGAAGTATCACTTGACCTTCTGGTCTTCTCGATCGATGCTATTAACCCGGAAACTAGGGAGATTTTCAAGGAAAACGACAGCCCCTCGGATCACAACCCTTAATTATGAACGTATAGAAAATAGAAAAATGCGTAAAATTTGATACGCACACGCGTGCATGTATAAAATAAATGATTTTGTTTATACAGAAAAAGTAAAGAAGGGATGAAAACCCTAAAGTCAGTGCGATTAAGGTCTTGTCATTCCTACTAACAAACAATGGAAATTCTGATTTGATTCGATTTCAATTAGGTAACGTTCTTTAACAAGAATGAAGAAATTAAGGTCATAATTTTCAACAACTTCGTATTATATAAATGTGTTCACAACCTATTGCATATTGACTTACACTTTATATCAGTTGGCCTCCAACTCGAATTTTAGATTAAAGTCTTCCATTCTCCTAATATATACTGGAAACTTTGAGTCCCTTCGATTCACTATTCCTCTATTCAAAGTAGGTTTGAATAAGTCTCAACTTGTGACTCTATTCACCCTTATCATTTTATATTTTGCACGTTTAAAAAAAAAATAAAAATAAAAAAATATATATATATATATACACAAATATACTTACAAAGAAAAATAAATAAAAGAAAAATATAAGCCCCTGTTTTGCACGGATTAAAATCAGAATTTTAATGGATTTTAATAAAAATTGATAAAATGTGTGGTTGAAAATTTGAAAGACCGATAAAATATACGGTTAAAATTAATTATTAATTTTGACTTAAATTAAAATTAAAATTTTAATCCTTCCCAAAAAGTGGCATAGATTTGTATGGTTCATGTCACTTTTAAAAAGATGCCACGAGGTCTTGGCTTCAATAGGTTCATGGTCCCTAAAAGAATTATTAAATGTCGCTCCGACAATCTTATCACATGTATGGCAAAATCTTACCAAAAAAAAGGGAATTGAGGTTCAATTTTATCATATGTATGGCAAAATGTCGAAAATGTAGGGAATTGAGGCTTTGTCCTAAAAGTTAATCCATTGAGTAAAGTAATTCAATCCCTTTTAAATCCATCATTTAAATTATTTCAAACTAATTAGGACTTCGTCTACACACTTCAAACCAAAAAAGAAAAGAAAAAAGGTCTAGATTTTGTTCAAAAAAAAGTTGGCGGACGTAATTTAGAAAAACATTTAAGTAGATCAAATGGCTAGCGTGAGAAAATACCAATTCAAGACAATGATATTTAGAAAAAGTTAATCAAATTTTTTTTTACGGTAAAAAGCTTTCACTGAGGCTATGTTTGATTGTATCCCAATTTCATAAAAAATGGAAATCAAATTCCATCTATCTAATTTTTGTTGTTGTTTGATTGACAAATTTTTTCCTAGAATTCGAATTCCACCTTTCATGTCACATAAGCTAATTTTCATGTTTTCCTTGAATTTCAATTCTCACCAAAATGGTGAGAATTAGAATTCTTCTCGGTTACTATAGTACATTTTTTTTCGATTTTTTTGTTGACAATGGAAACAAATTCTAAGAATTATTGTAGAAAAATATTTCCCGTCAAATGTCAATTTTCATGTAAAACAAAGCCAAACGAACACCAAAAAATATATGATTTTCTTGAATTTTTTATTTTTTTGTATGTGTGGGCAATGGAAACAAATTTCATTCCTAATACCAGTAAAATTTATTTCTTTAATTGACAATTTTCATATAAAATAAAGTCAAACGGAGTTAAAAAACACTTTTATTTCAACATTTTTCACATGGAAGATTATCCCAATCAAACATAATAATTTACAATTCTCTGAAAAATAATTTCTAAACAATTCAATTCCCTGAAATTCATTTTCAATTCAATTCAATTCTATCTTTACAATCAAACGGACCGTAAGATTAATTGTCTATGGAGCGAGATAAAGCGGAATACAATTAATCCATGATTGGTTCACGGGAAAATAGGGAAAAAGTATGAGGTATCCTATACATATCCTCCATAGACAGGGAAGTCAGAGAAAAAATTAACCTCGTTATCTGCTAAAAAAAATTCCCAAAATTAGAAGGGGGGCTGATTAAATTTTGTTGGTTCAATGAAATTGAAGAGTTGAAGTTTTTGGGAGTGCAGAACTGGGCCATTGTAGACGGGGGCCCATCAATCAGCTGTAGTGTAGTTATCCCACGGGAATCTCGTGGCCTGGACCATTTTGGCGGTCGTCAACCCTTCTTGGATCCATGTGGACAAGATGTGTGTGTGTGTGTGTGTGAGAGAGAGAGAGAGAGAGAGAGAGAGAGAGAGAGAGGGAAAATGTGTTAAATTTCACAAATGGTCCCTGAAATTAAAGAAACTTTATATTGGTCTTTGAAGTATAGTTTTCTCTATTTGTGATTAAAATTAAATAATATTGCATAGTTGATACGTAGTGTCTATTAAAATTTGATGTGAACTAACGACCATTATAGCAATTGATTCCTTTCAACTGAACCTTTATATTTTTTTAATCTCAATAACTAGTAAATAAATTACTCAAAAAAAAAAAAAAACCTTTAAGGACCAATGTGAAAATTAGTTGAACTGCAGCAACCACTTATGAAATTGACTAACGAATTATAAGAGTATGTCCATGTTTGGCTCACTTCCATAACATGCTCACATAAATTGTAACTTCGATTTGATTCTTTTTATGTTTTAGAAAAAAATTGTAAATTATGTGTGTTTCGTTTTAAGCGACCATGTTATAAATTTAATTTAATATCCAAATTATAAAAGGAATGGGAACAGTTGGATTTCAACTTGAAGGAAACTTGAATTGTATATGGATACCTAAATGTCACTTGTCATTTTTACAAGCCCAGAAATGGACTCTGGCTTTCTCAATATCATACAAATTTTGAAGTCTACCTCAAAATTTTAGGCCACATTCTCCAGCTTTGCCCCCACAGGAAACAAACAATAGCTTTTGCTAATTAATGAGACGGCACCCACTGGCTTTGATTGTTATCTAAGATATTTCTAGAGCAATTCTTTTGAGGTAAACCCAAGTTCCAATGTTTCATTATTATCTACACACCCACAAAGGGTAGGGTGGTGGGATTGAGTGGGGGCAAGTATCTCTTGTAAAAGCTTAAATTGTTCGAGAGAAGAGGGACAGAGGTATGATCCGTGCACAATTTTGATAAATGAATGACAACGAGATTTGAACTAAGATATTTTGTTTTATCCTGATACCTTTGTTAAAACTTTACGTGTATATTGATTTAAATCCAATTGAGTACCTACTAGTAAGAATGTGAAGGGATGCCGAAAGAGAGATTGAATCTTTTATAGACATACATATTGTTCAGAATTAAGAACCCTAATTCTATACCACCAAAAACAATAAAATCCCAGCAACAAAATAAAGGCACAACAAAATGATCAAGATTTATTGATATTTGCCTTAATATGAAATTACGTTCTTGTAAGTCGTTATATAAATTCACAACTTAACACATAAATTAGGTTCGACAATTTCCACAACTTAACACATAAATTTGTGTGTATATATATGTTTAGACATAATTCACCATCTTTTGAATCCCAACATTTAAACTCACACTCAAAACCTTTTCATATATAAAACATGTGTGGACATTAGGACATAAGAATCTCGAATTGTATGTTTGCATGTTGATATGAAAATTACGTCATTTATCATTTTTATGACCCTGGAAATGGAATTGATCTTTCTCAAAGTCGCTACAAATTTTGAAGTCTCTCTCAACATTTTGAGCCACAAGTCTTTAACGTTGGCCTGTACAAAACGAACAACAACTTTTTCCATTAAATGAGACGGCAGCCACCGACTTTGTTGTACCATCAAAGATATTTTTTTTGAGTTAGTTAGTTGGGGACAATTTGTCAATTTTAGTCACAAATTTAATCCAAATAAACTCGATATTTATTGTGATTTTGATTAATCACATCCACTTATTAAGGTTATTTATTTATTTATTTATTTATTTATTTTTTTCAAAAGCACTAAGTTAATTCTATGTTGGACAAATTGGCTAACTTCGATTTTCTTTTCGATACATAATGTAGTGATATAATCTTCATTTTTCTCAATTTGATAATAAACTAATTAAATAAACAAGGGCCAAATAGCTTTTTCAAGATAATTAATTAATCAATTAATAATATGACAACTTGTACGTCAAATGATGTTTGAAATTCAATGAATTATGGGTTGGATCAAATCTTAATTTGTTATTTAGTTCAAGTTGAATCCATTTCGTTCTTTCCTATTGGAAGCTAATATTTCCTTATCGATTTCTCTTGGCTTTATTCTAACAAGTTAACAACCATGCCTTTTCACATCTTGTCATTAACCTATTATTCACACTTCTTTGTTTATTGCATAGGACTAATTGTCTTCTTGAATTGTCACGTTAATGGAAGATGTTCTTAGGTCGGTTTTTAGTTTATTATCCTACTACACAGTCACAATATGTTTGATACACAAGATTGAATAGGAGTGAACGATATAATTATTATATACTTCTGTGCAAGAAAAGGCCTTGATGCCAACTTTCTCAATTCATTATTTTCTTTCTTTTCCATCAACTTATCCCTACTTTTGTGAAGGGAAAAAATGTATATTCGCTCAATTTTTCATGTAATTTGATTTAATCAATATTTTTAACATTGTCACGGACGTGGTAAGTAATGCTCGACAAACTTTTGATTACAAAATGCCATATGATAATAAAAACCCTGACCAATTACTAAGTTGTATTTTGGATACGTTGACGATACGATTATAAGACAGCCTAGTCACCTAAAAAAGAGTGTCCTATTATCGAAAGAACTCCAACCAATTTGTAAACTGTGCTAAGGTTGGCAATGGGTGGGTTCGGGACGGATTGAATTCCCCCACCCCCCGCCGCCGTCGCGCCGAGCATTTTCCCTCCTCATACTTGCCTGGTTACCCCTTTAAATTGGGATAGGACGGCGTGGGGCGGGATCATTGACCCTTTTACGTACCCGTTTAATTAATTAATTTTTTTTATAATTCATTTTATTGTCCCCGTTCATACAAGTGACACAATGATATAATTATTTTTTAATTAATTTATTTATTTTTGAAAGTTAAATTATTCGAATATATTTGGTAAACTAAGATTTTTATTGTTTATCATATTTTTTAGATAATTTTAGTTGTTATCTTCTATTAGAATTAATGAAATTTCTAAATTTAAACATAAAAGTATTGAATTCTTTAAAAAAAAAATAAAAATTAAATGGGGCGGGCCCCGTTACCCATAACTGCCTCAGGGGGTGGAATTACCACTCCCGCACCCGACCGATTACCCGATTAAGCGGGTATTCCCAATCCTGTTCAGGGCGGACCCGCGAATATCGAGTTTGATGAGTATTTTTGTCATTCCTAAATTGTGCCCTACCAAAGAAGACATGCTTTTATTTTCTTTTATTTATTTTTTTTTTCCCAAAAAATGGAAATAAAATAATCTGTTTGACAGGTCTTCTTAAAAATTAGAAGATGCTTTTAAATATATTTGAATCATTTCCTGTCAAATGAGCCCTTTATAAAATTCCGTGGGGAGGGCTTGCTGCTTGCATATAATGTTGGGCTGGTCCTCAACCGACTCGTGATTGCAATTACAAATTCGAATGTACTATCAAGAACAAATACGGAAGACTGAAGGACTTCAGTCCAAGGGGGAATGTGACTTTGACCAACCATATTAAAGAGAGTGCCAACACCACCGTTTTGAGTTATTACATTATACATCATTCCTCACTATTGTCTTTCCTCATTAAGAGGAATCAACATTTTATTTTATTTTATTTTTATGTTGGAGATATTTATGTTTGGGTGCAATTACGTCATCACAATAAGCATTAACAAAATTAAGTTGAACTGGCCGATTTAAATGAACTAGTCTAGAGTATAATCTCATTCTAGGCCAAAATCAAGAATTTAGACCCCGTATGATAACTTAAGAACAAGAAGATGTTCTCTTTTTTGAGTCAATGTTTAGATCGATTTTTTAATAAAGTGATGTCATTTCGAATATATGCTATGCAAGATGAATTTTTGGGCCTTAGATGAGCCCATGAAAATAGTTTATTAAAATCGAACGAACTATTGATTGTTCAGGGATAAAAATCCCGTATCGAATAAGGATGAAAATATAGACAAATTTATAAGGATTTTAGCTATTCTTCTTAATAAGATTGACTTTTTAAGATAGAATCTCAAATCTTAACATGGTATAAGAACTCAATATGCTCTAACGAGCAATGCAATTCGTTTAAGACTCAAAAAATGAGCACACGAATTTCAACATTGGTTTGCACATCTTAAGAGATATAATCTCACATCGAATAAAAATGAAAATATAAATCAATTTATAAGAGTTTGAGTTATTTTCTTAACTATGTTGACCTTTTAAGATGAAATTTCAAATCTTTACATTGATTTATTATGTAGTCGATCTCGAATAATTATATTAATATTAACTTCATTAAGCATGCTTAAACATGAATAGAAATAGTTATTCAACTTTAGCCCCAAGGGCATATCTCCCAGTGGCAAAGGGGAGGGCGGATAGGGCTCAGCGCAGCAGTGTGCAGAGTTCGATTCCCCGCAAGGTGGAATTGGCTTTGTTGCAAGTGGGAGTTACCATATGGGTTAACAGCCTTGGCTTATCCATGTGCTCTTTACCCTGGCTCCTGGGAGGCACATCCTGTGATTTACCTCCTCCACGATAGTCTAGGGCAGGGTCGGTGGAGGCCCTTAAGGTTGGGGTTCAACCCAGTTATTCAACTTTATATTTATACCATTCAACTGATTTGAAAGTCACGGGCCATACCATATTAAACAGAGGACCACCACAATCACCACCACCGTTTGATCATTGATTTGTCTGTCCTAATTAATAGAGTCAATATTTGACTTTCTGACTGGACCTTCGTTTGACTGTCAGACTCCAAACTAATTGAAACCTCTATACTACTACAACTTCACCTCCAATTGAAGTGAAGACGACAATAGTACTAAATGGTAGCAGGCTGTCACCTGTAATAAACATGTTTGTTTCTATAATCTTCCTCCTCTATCAACATGGGACAATATGGAAGGAGACAGGAACCCCGTGATTCCTTTTACTGCATTAACTACAAATCAGCACTCCATAATGCACCTCAATTTTTTAGTTTTTCTTTGGTAAAATCATAATTGTATGATATTATTAAATTAGTAGTAAAGTAAACTTAAGGAGTTAGAATTATCGTTCTCACAAGAACCGTGCTATCAATTATGGACCTAAATTAATATTACTATTTATTTGAACCTATACGGAAAAATTAATAGGGAATTTGTTTTTATTCTAATACCTACTCAATAATTTAAGCTATGACGAACTTACTAGTTGACAATTTCGGTTTTGAAATTAAAATAATGAGAAAAAGTGTTAAGACTTACGATTTCACCTTATTTCCCACAGTTGATTTATCATGTAATTAAAGCTACGAAAAATATTTGTGTAATCGGTTGAACTTCTCAAGGTGACATAAGATAGCGTCGGGACGGCACAGGTAACCTTCATCACAACCCTTATTGTTATCGACCCCCTCGTCCACACAACCCTTCCTACAAAAAACTAAGGTTGAACCCGTCTTTGATATTAATTTGAGTATTTCTCGAGCTAGAATTCAATTAATGGCCTGCTAACCACCTTGCTAAAAGATGTCAGTGTAATCAGTAATGGCTTTGAAATGAATTTTTAGGGGATTATCGAATCTTGTCATATTTTAGCTGGGCCATGATCAGCACAAATTCAGTCATCATGGCCAATGCAACCCATTGAATCTTTGAACTCGGCCCATCATTGTAAAGGATCCTCTATAAAAGATGAAGATAGCCTAGCTAGATTGACAGCCAGCATCAAACTTTGTCATGACATATAAGTATCGAAAAATAAAACTTTAGGTTCTTGTTTAATTAATTGATGATTTTAACAAAGGATAAATGAATTTTTGTGCATTTTTCCGTACATAGAAATACATAATTTTGCATAGATAGAAAGCAATGGAGCCCTCGTTAGTATTTTTCAACTCGTCCAACCTCCGGCTGGTGAATCCCACTTTAATGGAGAATCCAATCAACTGAGTGATGCATTTTCAGATAGCTCGTCTCTCAGATCCTTGAGAGCATCATCAACTTGTAAATCAA